CTATTGGATACTGTACACGGGTGCAGGTAAGGTCTAGGGATCGAATCCTGGGATCTGCATCTGCTTCTGCAAACTTAAGGTGAAAACCGTTTCACTCCCGCCGGCCTAAATCCGAGGTCCTCCGAGAATACTTCAGTCTAAGGCAGGACCTTTACCCAAATTACCCTTCTTATCTTTCTTGTAGGCTCGGACTATATTGGGAGCTGTCTCTAGAAGTTCTGCTCTGGTGAACCAGCGGTCATCTTCAGGTTCTGGATAAGAGAATCTGACTTTGTACTGTTTTTGTGGACGACCTCTACCTCCTGTTCTGAAGACATCCTCACCTACTATGCCATCAATGTCGTACCTTCCATCCATATCCGGAGGAATCATAGACCTTCGTGATGGAAACTGTTGACTTGTAGTACAAGGTAACAACTTTGACACATGGAAAATGGGGTAGGTGTGGAGGTGTGCTGGAATCTCTATCGTGTAAGATGGTCCATCCTCTCCTCCCTTGACTTCTAGGACTGGCCACGGTCCTCTATAAGCAGGTAGCAGTTTCTGCGAGATGTTCTCCTCAGGAGCAAACTCTTTTGACTTGACCCATACTAAGTCGCCTACTTGGAACTGTGAAGGGCGACGGTGCTTGTTGGCTTGTTCTATAATCCTGTGCTGGGCCTTCCTGACGTTCTCAACTATTGTAGCAATTTCTTTCTCGTGCTGTATCGCAAATTCCCTGGTACCGGGCGGTAGCCTCTGAATCTGATCCCGGTTAAGTCCTTCAAACGTTTGCGGGGTTTTAAAAACTTATGTAGCTCATTGCGAGTGCGACACGTGGCTAAGTGCACGCTATTGTTGTAAGCACTGGCTACCTTTGGGAGCATCTCATCCCAGTTAAGTTGGTCGGGCCTAATGTACATTCTCAGAACTTGCTGCAGGACTTTGTTCATCTGCTCAGTCTGACCGTTGGTCTCTGGATGACGGGCAGATGACATTAACAACTTAGATCCATAGACTTTTATTAATTCCTGCCAGTTCTGATGAGTGAACAGGGAACTAATTATGTGCGTGACTTGGCGGGCAAAGGGACAAAACTTGCATACTTGCTAAACCTATCTACTACGACCATGACTTGGCTCTTGCCATGTTTACTCTTGACACCAACGTCCATGAAGTCTATAGACACCGAATCTCCGGGCCCTTCGGGGATAGGCAAAGGTATGGGAAGACCGAGAGCGGCAAGAGGGGCTTGCATAGTAGTCTTAAACAGACTTTGCAACTGCGTACAAATTCTATGCAGTCGGCCTTCATACCAGCCCAGGTATACGCACGCATGAGGTTGACTAATGTCTTCTGCCAACCGAAATGTCCCTCTGTATCATGGTATTCCCCGAAGATCAAACTTCGGATCTCTTCGCTATTGGGAACGTATAGGCGGTCAACAACATTTGTCTTCTCAAATAACAAGCCGTTTGTATTGCGGTTATCTGGTTCTGATTCTGATGCCCCCTTAACCCTCTTCAGGAGGTCGCTATAGATAGGGTCTTGCGCTGCTGCGCATACGCTTCTTTAACTCTCACTTGCATGTCTCTCCCTATATCCAGATAGTGCACTATCGCTCCAAAGTAGTCTGATCTTCTACTCAGGTCATCCACAACTACATTGTATTTTCCCTTGACTAGCTTGAGCTCAAAGTCATACTGATCTATCTCTGCGGCCCACCTAGTTAGCTTTGGTGTCATCTTGGCCTGCGTTTTCAGCCACCTTAGCGTCTCGTGGTCTGAATACACTTTGAAGTGTCTCCCTAGCAACTTAGCAAGTAGTGCCTCCAGTGTTCTAACGCTTATCTGAGAGCGAGAGTTTCCTCTCGTAGCGTCGTAGGTGGATGTTGCTACCTTTTTCTGAAGGCATTCTTGCAGACATGAACTCTACGGGTCTGTATCCATTGCCATCGTCTTGCTGTAGAACAACACCTATGCCATATTGACTTGCATCAGTGGTGACAACGAATGGCAATGATGGATCGGCTACCTTAAGGACAAAATACTCTATTAAGGTCCGTTTTAACTTTTTGAGGGTCGAAGTCCAGTCTTTATCCCATTTCCAGATTGCCTCTTTCTTCAGTAACCTGCGAAGGGGAGAAACGATGGTGGAGAAGTTCCTGACGAACTTTCTATAATAATTTGTCAACCCCAAGAACGGCCGCAACTCTGTTAGTGTGTGGGGAGTCGACCAATCTCTAATTGTTACTATCTTACCGTCCTCAGGCTTTATGCCATCTCTATCTAGTACGTGGCCCGGGTATAAAACCTGTGTGTTGGCCCACTCACAGTTCTTCGTATTTATCTTGAAGTTAGCTTCTCTCAGCTTCCCCAAAACCTGCCGTAGATGACCCTCATGCTCCTGGAGGGTCATACTAAATACTTAGATGTCATCTAGATAGACAACTACAAATCTATCTAACCACGGGCTAAATAAGTCGTTCATACAATGCTGAAATATAGCTGGCGCGTTGGTTAGCCCAAAGGGATCACTATAAACTCATAGTGCCCGTATCTGGTCTTGAACGTTGTTTTGTGCTAATCATAAGGATGAACCTCTATCTGATGATAGACTGATTTTAAATCTATCTTAGAGAAGTATCTGCAGTCCCGCACTCGATCCAACAAATCATCTATTCGAGGTAGTGGTTCTGCGTTCTTCACTTTGATGGCGTTGAGACCCCTCTGATCTATACACATTCTCAACTCTCCCTCCTTTTTGGAAATAAACAGAACAGGCGCTCCAAACGGAGACGAACTTGGCCGAATCCAACCCTTCTCGAGGAGCTCCTCTAACTGCTGTCGCAACTCCTCTAACTGCTGTTGCAACTCCTCTAACTCCCTTGGGGACATTCTATACACCGCTCCTTTGGGAGTTCTACTGCCAGACTCTATCTCAATTCGATGGTGGATCGGCTGCGATACTACCCCTGTAGGTTGTAGGCGACTCTGATAGATCTGCATATTCCTTTAGTAGCTTGGCAATACGAGGGTCTATGGGCTCTTCAGACTTAGGCTTAGTGACAGGCCTAATACAGGCAACGAAAACGTGTTATTCTAGCTACTCCTTCTTCACTAACCTTGCGAATGTAGGAGCGCTGATGCAACAATGTGCTAACGGGTTGTCTGCCCCTGACACATGAAACAGGCGAGCAGTCTTGACTCCAACTGACAGGCTAGGGAGCCTACACTCGTGCTTTCTCACGTGCAATGTGGCCCCGACTGCCTCTCCCCAGGGCCCAGTCCATTCCTAGAACTATATCAATTGAGAGGTTGTCTTGTATGAGGAGAGTCAGGGAATGAAGAACTCTCTCTACTTTCCCATCTTTCTCTAGGTGAAAATAAGACTGGACTCCCTCGACATAATTCTCGACTCGCACCGTGCGATTGTCTGAGAGGATGTTTACTATAGGTTCCTCTAGCTCTCGGACCTTTAGATCCAGCTTCAGCTTCTGTAGTGCTTTGCGACTAATAATAGTCTAATATAGCTATGGGTTGCCCCACTGTCTATAAAGGCCCATACTTTGCCTCTAAAAATCGCTACATCTACCAATACTAACTGTCCTTTACCATCCTTCTTCATCTTGGCCCAGACAGACATTCTCTCCTTCAACTCTTCTACCACATTTGTGAGGGAAGTGCCTAGAGAGACCCTAACGCAAGCAGTCTCTAAACAACTTTCTAGGTACTGGCCAACAACCTTTGGATCACCGTAGTAAATGCACTGATCCTGGTCTATCCTCTTCTGCCAGACCTTTTGATCGAGACCCAAATCTTCCCAAGGCCTGCCTTGTGGCAAGCCAGGGTGCCATCCACCCCTCCTATAAGGTGACCGATTGGAACCTGGACGGTTTTGCGGGGGACCGTGACCCCTGCCTCCCTCTTGGCGGTTTTCCCTGCCACCGACCCCCTGATCGTCCTATCCTCGACCACTAGTGGCCCAACCCCCTTGGCCCTGACCTCTTCTTCATCCTTGCGGCCTCCCTCCAGCCGCGACAGCAACATAAATCCTCCCCTGCCCTATACTCCTGTCCTCCTTCTCGAGGCCCCACTTAGTCTTCCTATACGGGACCTCCTTCATTCTTCCTTCATCCAATGTCAGAATCAGGTTGTATTTCCCCTTAACCTACTCTGAAATGGTCTGACCCTTCCACTTCTTACCCTTGTTAAAATCTTTGTGCCAAAAGACTTTCACTGGCGTGGACTAGGCCTCATACGCAACGACGTAGCGACTTAACTTATCATAGGTCATACCCTGATCTCGTGACTTGTCATAGAAATGCCTGTGCAAACTCTCGGGCATCGCACGATAGAATAACTGAACCAACAGTGACTCAGTAACATCATGGTTTGGAACTGTGACAAACTCATCCATGGCCCCCTTGAGTGCCCTTGCACTCTTCCACTGTCGTGTGTGGATTGTCTGGAACTTATCTGATAATCTGAGGCCTTAATTCCCTTAGTTACATTCGCGAAACATTCACGAAGCAACTTTAGGAATTCACCGAGGGGGGTGATGGTGGAGTATGCCACCATGTCATTGTCACATTTGGTGGCGCGGGCTAATGACCTAGCGAAGCTAGACGCTTTGTCTCTAAGGGCATGGAATGCGACGAGGACTTGCTCCTAAGGGATAATATCCTGGAGGTGCACGCAGGAGTTAATGTTTGTCTCCCAATTATCGAAATTTTGTCATTGTTTTCCGTTGTAGGCGTCACGAAACTTTACCTTTACCCTTTCCCTACGCGGGCGCCCCTCCTCCTCCTTTGGGACTGCGAGCTTGGCGCCCTCTATGACGCCAATACAAAATTGTTTTGTGTTCTTCATACGGGTCTGCATCACAGAGCCCATCCACATCATCATATCGTGGGCAAAGTGTCTAAAGACCACTCGGATGGACTGTAGGGCTATGTCATGGCCCCTTGAGGCTTAAGGTCAGCATGTGCTCTTGTTGGACGCGAATCAATCCATCTATACTCTTTGGGATTGCATCCAACTTATTCTGCAAGTCCTCTTATGCCAGCGCCTTCGTATGCTGTTCTGCTGCGGCAGCCGATTCCTTCTCTAACTCAGTAGCCGCCGCTATGCGCCTCCTTCTCTGCCTCCTCAGTCGCAATTTCCACTCCATTCTTTTCTCCTCTTCCAGGGCCTGCTGCTCTAACAGATCAGCCAGGGTCTTTATCTCTGCCACAACAACATCCCTCTCGCCCTGAGGGATGTACATCAACGCTTCTTCATCTTTCCCTAGGGATAAGTTAGCCACCCACTCCGACACCATCTTCTCTAGTTTCTTTTCGTCTTCGCTAACCCCACTGGATTCCCCTCTTTCCCCTCTCCTCGTTGTCCTCACCAGGGGTATCTCCTCTTCTTCTTCTTCTTCTTCCACTTCTTTAAGCTTCTCCTCCTCTTCTCTCTTCACCCTCTCCATCTCTTCTTCAAGCTTCTTCTTCTTCGCCGCTTGTGCTTCCAATAGGGCATTCTTCTTGGCCTCGTTCTTCTCTTTTCTTTCTTTCAATATGGCGGCGACACTCTCTTCTTGCTCTTTCGTATATGGGGTGGTACTCGTACCGCTACGCGTGTCCACCATGGTGATAGACGTACAACCGGATGACAGTTCCACTCCTCACCACTTAGACTCTCACCCCCTGACCGACTTAACTTAATGACAGACTTACTAAGGACCACAAAATCCTTGGAGGACCCTGTCAACTATGGTCTCTAGCTTGACTCTACTTCTAGGCTGTCACTACAGGACTTACTGCTGATCAGGAGGCATTTAAGGAGATCCCCCGTAACTCCTTAGGAATTATTTAACGTCACAAACAGGACGACGCAATCAGCAAGTCCTCTCATGACGTAGACAGCTGGTTGTGCAACCCATATATCGGATTTCGGGCCTACCGTGCCACACTAAGCAGCCCGCCGGTCAGTACCGGTCCTTGGGAGGGTTTGTCCTCCAGGTCAGTCAGTCATCAAACACGACCTTTAACCCTACTCAGCCCCTGTGGGTTTGGTCAACTCATCTCTATGACCTCATTTACAGAGTTCCTATCACCTGGACAGAAGAGACTCAATGCAGAAAGAAGAGACAGACTGACTCGGCAAGTACCATGGAGTATGTGTGCATCCATAGGGCGAGGGGATAGGTTGAAGGTTTGGCGAGAGTATACCAATCTTCAACTTGGTCAAACTTCGTGGTCAACAGCTCCGGTCAACACCTCAGTCGAAGCTAGTCAACGTCCCGGTCAACTCCTTGGTCAACGCTGGTCAACACATTTTGGTCAACTTCTCGGTCAACGCCAGCATGCACCCCAGTCAACGCTGAAAAGCACTTGGTCAACTTCGGTAAACGCCTGGTCAACACTGGTAAACACCTCGGTCAACGTTGGCTATGGCTGCCAACCCTCCTTCCACTTCCCTTCGCCTTCCTTGTTCTTCCTCCTCCTTCACCCTCGGCCTGTGTTAATCTCCGTACGTGTACGGGGGATTTCTCGTACGGCCATATGTACGACCGTACGGCCGGTCTCATATGGAGTGACGAAACCCCCCCGAAACAAAACGTAAAAAATAAAAATAAAAATATGGGGGTGTAGAGCTTTTCGTGCTCTACACCCCCATATTTGTTTTTTGATTTTTTGGTATTTTTTTATGTTAAAAAAAAATAAAATTAATAAAAACGGGAAAAAAAACAAAATAAAGAAATAAAAGTTGATTGATTGATTGATTGATTGATTGGTTGATTATTGATTGGTTCATTGCTTGTTGATTGATTGATTGATTGATTGATTGATTGATTAATTGATTGATTGATTGATTGATTGATTGATTGATTGATTGATTGATTCGAAAAAAAAAAAAAAAAAAAACGGGCACATAGACGCGCAGCTCTAACATAGCTGCGCGCTCCCTCTCTCTCTCTGTCTGTCTCTCAGCACGCGCGCGCGCGCGCGCGCGCGAGAGAGAGAGAGAGAGAGAGAGAGAGAGAGAGAGAGAGAGAGAG